ATTCCTAAGGTCTCTAACAGTGTTGATCTTGATGATTATAGGCCTATAAGCTTAGTTGGTGGATTATATAAGATCCTCTCTAAGTGCCTATCGAGGAGATTGAGGAGCTGTATTTCAGACTTAATTAGCCCAACACAATTTGCCTTCACCCAAGGGAGACAAATATTGGACTGTTCTTTAATTGCGAATGAAGGAGTGGATTACTGGAGGAAAAATGGTCTTAAAGGTTGTGTTTTCAAGGCAGATTTCAAGAAAGCTTATGATTCGGTTGATTGAGACATTTTGTTTCTAGTAATGGAGAAAATGAGATTTGGTTCCAGGTGGATAGTTTGGATCAGAAAATGTGTAACCACTGCCTCAGTTTCTGTTTTAGTGAATGGAGTTCCTATTAAGGAATTTCCAATGGCTAAAGGTCTTAGGCAGGGGTGTTCACTATCACCTTTGTTGTTTAATTTTATTGGAGAACTTCTCAATCTACTAATTTTAAAGGTTGTGGCATAGGGACTGTTTTCTGGACTGGTTATAGGCAGTAATTCGGGTGCTTTCAAATTATCTCATCTACAGTTCGCGGATGATCTCATTATATTTTGTGGGGCGTCTAAGATGCAGATTTTAAATGTTAAGAGGGTGCTTAGAGTGTTTCAAGTAGTCTCTGGTTTACAGCTCAACTTGAAGAAAAGTAAACTGTTTGGTGTGAATTTGAATGAAGAAGATGTTCAACAGTGGGCTAATTCTTTCGGATGTTCTGTGGGTTGTTTTCCCTCTGAATATTTAGGATTGCCTTTGGGAGCTAGTAGAAACTCTAAAGCACTTTGGAGTCCGGTGGTGAATAATTTTTCAAATAAATTAGCTGGGTGGAAGGCTTCTTCACTGTCTTTAGCAGGAAGGTTGGTTTTAATAAAGTCGGTTCTATGTTCGCTCCCTACGTATTATTTATCTTTATTTAAGATACCAACTTCGGTACTTAAATCTCTCAACTCCATTATGTCGAATTTCTTATGGGGAGGGGGAATAGGTAAAAATAAGAACACTGGGTTAACTGGCCGATTGTGAGCAAAATTCGAGGGGGGTTTAGGTGTTCGAAATCTTATGTTCATGAATAGAGCTCTTCTAGCAAAATGGCCTTGGAGGTATGCTAATGAAAGGGGGTATGTTTGGAGGGAATTCATTTGTTCTAAATACAATATGGATCCATCTTGGTTATTGTTTGACAGCAAAGTCCCACAAAGAGTATCTTGGATTTGGAGATCGGTGGTTAAGAATCACTTTAAAGAAGATAGTATTGGCTCTAAGTTTAGAAGTTTGTTTGCTTTTCGAGTTGGAGATGGCAAGGTGATTAGGTTCTGGCAGGATAGTTGGGCTTTGGATTATCCTCTTCTAATTATTTTCCCGCGATTATTTTCCATTTCCACAAATAGAATGGGCAAACTGTTTGAATTTGGGAATTATAGCTCTTCGGGATGGAGTTGGGATGTGCAGTTTAGAAGAAATTTAAATGACTGGGAAGTAGAGCAGTGAGTGAATTTGATGAATGCTATTTCCTCTGTTTCTCTATCTATGGAGTTTGCTGATGGGGTGATTTGGAAAGGTTCTGGAGATGGGGTGTACACTATTAAATCTGGCACCAAGATTTGTTCACCCATCAATTTGGATTCGGAAGAGATATTTTTGGAAGAAGATTATTTGGAGGGGTCAGATTCCACCTAGAGTGGAGTCCTTTATGTGGCAGGTGGTGTTAGGGAAGCTGGTTGTTAGGACAGAACTTGTTAAAAGGGGTATTCAAGGAATTGTAAACATTATGTGCCCTTTTTGCAAGAGGGAGGAGGAGTCTCCCTCGCACTTGTTTTTCACTTGTTCGGTGGTGTGGTCGATTTGGAACAAATTTCTGAATTTTTGGAAGATTAAGTCTGTTTTTCATGTTAATGCTAAAATCTTCCTACTAGCTTGGGCTGATTTGAAGCCTACCTCTACAATTTGGTCTTTTATTCCTGTGGCAGTTCTGTGGACTACTTGGAAAGTTAGGAATCATATTGTGTTTGAAGGGGGAAAGTTAGATTTGGCTGAGTATTTTTTCTTAGCAAGGTTTAGACTAGCTTCTTGGTTCCTTGCTAAGTACAAAGAGGTTTCTATTCCTAAGGATTCTCTGATTTCAGATCCCTCTTTAGGGGATTTGTGCTCTCTCAATTCTAATCAACTTGTAACTATATTGCCTTGGTCTCCTCCTCCTAAAGGTTTTGTAAAGTTAAATGTGGATGCTGCTACTACAAGAGATTGGAAGTAGAGTGGGATAGGTGGTGTGTTAAAGGACTCCTCGGGTCTGACTGTAAGTTCTTTCAAGGAATCTGCTGGTCCGGGTCCTCCAACTTATATGGAATTAAAAGCTATTCATAAGGGTTTAATGTTCTATGCGAATTTACGAGAGAGGAAGGGTCGTCTCATTATCGAAAGTGACAGTAAGGTGGCTGTAGACTGGATTAAGGAAGTGGATTTAGTTCCTGATGTTTATGCTTTCTTGATTAGAGATATTGTTCACAGGTTTAACGTTTTAGAAGGTGTTGTTAGATGGGTTAATAGGACAACAAACTTAGAGGCTGATGCCTTAGCTAAAGCAGGAATTGGCTGATTCTGTGTTTTTTTGGATTGGATGTTTTTTGCTGTTTAGAGCTTATTTGGTTTTGTAGGGGTGTATTAATGGTTGTACCCTATGTAATTGTATGGTTCAATAAAATCCTAAGGCACTCTTTTCCCCCTTCCGCTGATTAAGGAGATTACTTATAAGCTCCATTAATCAAGAGGGAGATTTTTAACGAGGTCTGAAATTCTTATAAAAAAAAAAAGAAAAAAAAAAGGAAGAAAGAATGAAGGAAAAGAAAACGTGTGTTTAGGTGTGTCTTAACCATGCTTTGATTATATCCATTTTTTTGACGTGTCCTCATGATGTGTATTTCCCACGTCAGAGCCATGTCTGTGTTGGAACACTTGGACACTCTTTAGACAGAACTGTCGTAAAACTCTCATTAAGACAACTGAACATGATATCTTTGTATTTGTAAGGCAATTGTTCGAATAAATCTGAACATTCGTGTCTTTTCTGCAGTCGAGCAATGGGAGATGCCGCCAGTGCAATCAATTATTTTGAGGAGAGTGTCGAGTTCCTCACGAAATTGCCAGCTGATGATCTTGAGGTTACAGCACCATATTTGCTTGTGATGCTTCCCTTGTATTCTTCAATAACGAGGCCACCATGATAATTTCCAAACTTACTTTTTGCAGATCACGCACACACTATCTGTTTCTCTTAACAAAATCGGAGACCTTAAGTATTATGATGGAGATCTTCAAGCAGCAAGGTCGTACTACTTCCGCTCATTGGGTGTCCGCCGTGATGTCATCAAGAATCATCCTGGTGTTGCCTCACAGGTAAGCAACTTGCTTTTTTCTCTTCCTTCCTGTATGAAGGGTTATTGACATATAGCTTTCTATATTCATTAAATGTTGAAATGGGTTAACTCATCCAAAAATTTATGCAAAAAAGGTGAAGTATTAGTTTCATTCCTCAGCATCACATTTGATATATCTTTTGCCCCATCTATTTCACTGCAAAAAGTTACAAAGAGTTTCTCAGTATACTGTTTTATTGTTTTGAATTGTGGATTTACAATTGAAATCCATTGTACTGCTGGGGAAACTCCATTATTATTTCAATTAGACACTTTTGATGGAATTGAACATTGTATTGTTGTTTTTGCTCCATTGCTTTTGCATTTGCAGGTTCTGGATGTAGCCGTTTCTCTTGCAAAAGTTGCGGATGTAGACAGAACTCTCGGAAAAGAGGATGTGGCTATTGATGGATTTCAGGAAGCCATCAAATCTTTAGAATCTTTGACGCTGAAGTCTGAAGAAGCTGGTCTCGAGCCTCGGGTAAGGTTTTTTTTGTCAAACGTAAGGTTTTAAGCTATAATTAACCCCTGGAAACTGATTTCTCATGTTTGTTTCACTTTGCAGCGCCTTTCAGTGCTGGCATTCCTCAAAACTCAACTCGAAGAGAAACAATCTGAGGCAACTGCGAGTTCGGTGTCCCCTTGATGGAAAATGAGTGTAAACCAAAATGAAGGAGCCAATTTCTGTGCATACAGAAGCTCGAGTTTGCCAATTAACGATCTCCGTGTGGTTTCGGAATAGATGATCCGTGGAGGTGTGCCATAGACATAAACTAGTGAATCCTCTGAGCACGAGGAAGCAATCATGCTTGAGTTTATCTGATAAATGTCACTTTTCAACTTGAGTTTGTTTTATGTATAAAATAAGAGGCAAACAACACCTCCATTGTAGCTTGGCTTCACTTGTTTTTCAATTTTAGAACATATTATTGTTTTTAAATGTGCAAACTTTACATTGGAGGATGGGGATGAGTATATGCATACAATGGCATTACTATATTTGCTTGAGCTACAGCTTTAAAATCAACCTTTTATATATATTGTGTAAACTAAACATTTAGTATTTAAATTATCACTTTTATTTTGTTTTAATATTTAAACTTTATTTTTAAAAAACATATCTAATGTTTAATTTAGTTTTTAATTTGGTATCTTGTTGTTAAAAAATGAACGATGACACCTTAAGATAATGTTTAGCATTCCATTTGCACTAGTCTTTTATGTTTCCATGTCTTAGACGAGTTTTGTATTGGCTTGTGATCTCTTTGGGCCTCGTATCACTATTTTTAACGTTTAGCATTCCATTTGCATTAGTTTATATATTTGCAGTAACAGTACCAAACCCTAACTACCTTCCTCTATTTTATATATTATTTACAATAACAGAGCGCAATAGCAAAAATGTGCCTAACTATAGGATGTTGTTTCCATTTCCATTTGCTTCACTTGTTATTATCATACTAATTTTAACTCCCACACCAGGCACAAGTCCAAAATTGAGAGGATTAGTACGAGAAACACTTACATAGTCTTTCATTCAACATGTTAAAACTAGACTACGACATGTGAGAATACAACATAATACAAAGATATAGAATACCGGATGTAGCCGGAATTATTTCCTTATTCGATGCGATACTAGTTTTCAAGTATTCCCCGCTAGGCAGAAGCCAATAATTCCCAAGTAACATTGAGGCCAGAATTGGTAGTAATTGGTGGAGGAATCATAACAGTGCGTTGGAGAGGTGGCACTGACCTACACAGATTATCCATATCGTCGGGGCAATTTTGAAGTTGATAAGGTGGCATGGCTCTTTTGAAGCAGAAACGGATCTCCTTGAGATATAGTTGCTTGCCTTTAATTGGCATACTGCACGAGATTTGAGGATAGAATCCCACTGTCCTTTTCACGTTGTCTAATAAAGTGTCTATGTCATAAGGAGTTTGTGATGGTTGAACTCCCAAAACTGCAAGTTCAAAAATGAAAAACAATAAAATAAAATAAAAAACGAAAAACAAGGACTAATAGTAGAATTTGATCATTCTTGATCATCATCATCATCATGATTGTATCACCTTTGAGTGGGTCGTATTTGCTGTTCTCAGCAAGAATTAAGGCGCTGGTATAATAAATCAAAGGATCTCGAGGATAATCTGAGCACATTCCATGGTGCAACCACTGAATTTCCCAAAGGTCCTCATTTCTGTAACCCTTAATGAGGTCTGGCCATTTTTTCTCTAGCCTCCCTCTAATGGGTTGCAGTTCAGCCTAGGGATTTTAAATAAACAAATCAGCACAACACTTGAAACAAAAAGCAATCAAGTAATTGAACAATCAACCTAAATCACCCTTTTCATAATATTAAATATTAATACTTGAAATAGAAACTAGTAGCTTACCACAATATTAGTTGCAGGCATAGGATTGGGATTGCATTTATTAGTAAGTGGATTATAAGGAGGAACATTTTTGTCATCTTTAAATGTTGGCCATAAGCCATGGATGGTGAAGGTGTCGGGTATCGGACTCTTACAGGTTTGTGGTGCAGCGATACAGAGAGTAGTCGGCCATCTTAGACTCAGTTTATAGAACGCAAAGTCGGCGCCTTGAGCTGATACTACCAAGCTGGCCACCACAGCTGCAGCAAATGCTAATATCTGCTTCATATCCATTTTGCTTACGAGATGAAGAAGAAGAAGAAGAAGAAGATTTTATATTTAATTTGTTAATACTGAGCTTACATTTCCATTTCCATGATAGGGTTTTTATACCAACTTTTCAACCTCCTTTTTGGATAAAACAAAATTATTATAATAAACCACTATAAACAAAAGGGAAAGTAGTTAGGCACATTTTAGTTAGGCACGTTTTTGTTGTGTTGACTGTTGAAGTAGTTGTATAAAATATTACCCTATGTAACTGCATTGCAATACCATAAAATATAGGAGGTTAGCCGGCACCCACGTGTCGTGATAACGACGGAGGAGTTGTTAGGATTAAATTGGGGGGTTCAGATTGAACTGAATTCTTATCCATACCAACTTTTCAACGTCGGTTTTGGATAAAACAAAGCAAGTATTATCATTATTATAATCACTGTAAAAAAATGAAGATTCTTAGGCACATTTTTGCTGAAATTAACAAGGCTGTTATATTTATGTCAAAGATGTTATTTTTGGTTCAACTTCAAATAAGAACATGGAATCTCTAACTCACTCGAGTTTGAAATTAATGAGTATGATAGCGAAACTGTCTTACTTATTGGGTTTTCAAATTAAGCAAAAAGAAGATGTGATCTTTTTTTTAGTGTTGGCGGAAGCCATTATCAGATTTATTTACCAAGAGTCTTGATTCAACTCTGTTTAAGAAACTATGACAATAAGTGTGTATTTTCAAGTCACACCGTGACTGGAAATTGCAGGTTCATGGATAATGCCATCTTCAGTATTTATATTCAGATAGATAAATTTGTGGATTTTTTTTTTTTACCTTCTCTAATGCCATGTTGAATATTTTATCTTAACGCCACTCACATTTACTAGGTATTGGACCGGTTATTATCACCACGCTTTGAATATATATCGTTGTTGGATACCTTTTTTCTGTCAAGTAATATTGGCCCAATGCTAAAATTTGTCAATTGTTGCTTCAAAATAAGATTATACCTTAATAAGTAAATAACACCTAAAGCAAATGAAACATCATAAACATATAATATAAGCATATTGTTAAAGACAACACAACGATGCTCAAATTTGAAAAACAGCCAGTCAAGTCCTACTATAACCAAGTAAAAACCGCATCAAACACAATTTCCAATTTGCAAAAAACGAACATAGTTTCTTCGAACATATAAAACACAAGCTCGCAAGAAAACTCGAGAAGCCAGACAACGCGTCATCAAACTATCTTGACTGAAAACTCATTGAATGACTCAACCCAAACTGCTACGCAAACAAATCGAAACAGGATTGGAGAAAGAACTTCAAGGCATCAATAATCACTTACTCGATATAAAAATCCACACCTAAGATTGACCATAACAACATTCTTTTTACATACCTGACTTTATAAGGCAGTCTACCATTATATTACACTCTCTAAACACAAATAAATTTGATCTTGTTAATCTTACGGATCAGTCGATCAATCTTATTGGTCTAAATAAAGAGCTAAACATCAAATGTTCTCCGATGAAAGTAAATACATAATATAAATACAATAGAGATACACAGATAATCAGATATAGTAAAAGAAGACTTGTTAATTTATTCATTATCATACTAGTTTCAACACTCACGCCAGGCACAAGCTCAAAAATGTGAGGATTAATTAGTACGAGAAACACTTACATAAAATTTCATTCAACGTGTTAAAACTACACGATTACGACACATGAGAATACATAATACAGAGATCAAGGAATACCAGGCCTAACCAGAATTATCTCCTTATTCGATACTAATTTTCCATGTACACCCCACTAGGCCGAAGCTAATAGTTCCCAAGTAATATTGCGGCCAGAATTGGTCTTAATTGGTGTGCGTTGGGCAGGTGGTACAGACCTACACAAATTATCCATATCGTCGGGGCAATTTTGAAGCTCAGAAGGTGGCATTGCTCTTGTAAAGCAGGAACGAATCTCCTTCAGGTATAGCTATTTTTTTTTTGCCTTTCATGGGCATACTAAAATTCATACATTTGGATAATAAGCAGATAATTATTTAATTTAGATAATAAAAATCAAATTTAATACGAATAATCAAAGAAAATGAATCAATAAATAATCTATTTATATTTAAATATTATAAAAAATACAAATATACCTATTTATTTTCAATAAATAAATATTTTAAAATATACATAATATAGATGGGTTTAAAAAAAAATTGGAGCTCATATTTCAAGTGGATCGGGCTTGGAAAAATATAAAACGTAATACTTATGCATATGTCTAATCCGAACCTAATCCATAAACAACTCTAATGATAGCTAAGTTTTAGCAGTGCATGTCTCCCTAATGGATGGAGTCTTTACCACCCTCGATTTCGAACGGGACAATACAATTAGGGTGTAAGCTATGGATAATTTGTCAACAAAATATCAATGATTAGGATTTATATTTTTTTCAAGTGATGTCGAATTTATGAACTTACCTTCGAGTGGGTTGTATTTACTGTTCTCGGCGAGATTCATTGTGCTAGAAAAATAAGCGAAAGGATCTAGAGGATAATCAGATCACATTGCTTGGTGTGACCATTCGGTTTTTCAGAACAACTCGTCACGACCAGCCGTAGTACCCTTTATAAGGTTTTGCTGTAGTCTCCCTTTAATGGGTGTCAGTTTACCCTACCGAGTTTAAATAAACAAATCAGTGGGAAGAAAATCAATGAGTTCAATGAACTCACCCATTTCATATCATAGTAGTAAACAGTAATAGTTGAAAAAGAAAAAGAAAAAAGTAGCTTACAACAATATCACATGGAGCTACAGGACTGGGATTGCAGTTATTATCGATTGGATCATAAGGAGGAATAGATGTGTCATTTTTCAATGCTAGCCATAAACCATGGATGGTGAAGATTTTGGGTATTGGACTGATACTATTTTGTGGTGCAGAGATACATACAGAACTCGGCCATTTCAGACTCAGTTTATAGAACGCGAACTCAGAGCCTTGAGATGACACTACTGAGCTCGCTAGCACAGCTGCTGCGAATGCTAATAACTGCTTCATAACCATTTTGCTTACGAGATGAAGAAGCAGCAGCAGAAGATTTTGTATTTAATTTCTCAATACTAAGCTTGCATTTCCATTTCCATGCTAGGGTTTTTATACCAAAATTTCAACGTCATTTTTGGATAAAACAAACGTAATTATTATAATGATAATGACCAATATAAAAAATGAAGGTAATTAATTAGACACATTTTTGCTGTTTTCAAGTAGTTGGTATAAAGTAGGATAAAATATATAAACTGTCTCTCGATTATAGGATTTTATTTTGTTGAGATTATAATTATTAAAAATTACAAAATAATCACCTTACTATTCATATGATTCAAATTTATCATTTCCGTTAAAATAAGATATGATAAAAGTAAATACATAATATAAATATAATAGAGATAGTCCGATATAACAAAAAAGATTTGTTTATTCATTATTATGATACTAGTTTCTACTCTTACACCGGGCAAAAGCCCAAAAATAAGAGAATTATTTCCTTATTCATTACCATACTAATTTTCAAATACTTGGCCACTAGGCAGAGGAAGCCAATAGTTCCCAAGTAACATTGTGGGCAGAATTGATAGTTATTGGTGTAGGAATCTTAACAGTGCGCTGGGGTGGTTGCACTGACCTACACAGATTATCCATATCGTCGGGGCAATTTTGAAGTACAGAAGGTGGCTTGCCTCTTGTAAAGCAGAAACGAATCTCCTTCAGGTATAATTGCTTCGTGCCTTTAATTGGCATGCTGCATGAGATTTGAGGATAGAATCCCACGTTCCTTTTCACGTTTTGTATTAAAGTTTCTATGTCATGTGCAGTATCTGATGGTTTTACTCCCAAAACTGCATGTTCAACCATGAAAAATAAAATCAAATACACAGAAATTCAAGGATTAATAGTAGAACTTGGTCATTCTAACCCGAAAAGATTAGCAGAACAGTCATTTCTTTAAAAGTTGACGCTTAACGTAGAATCATGCGTGCGTCGTGATTCTTACCTTTGAGTGGATCGTATTTACTGTTCTCGGCAAGATTCAGGGCGCTAGTAAAATAAGTCAAAGGATCTTGAGGATAATCCGAGCACTTGCCGTGATTTTCCCATTCTTTTTCCCAGAAGCCCTCGTTGGTGTTGCCCTGTGCAATGGCTGGCCATTTTTTCTCTAGTCTGGGTCTAATGGATGCCAGCTTAGGCTACCGGTTTCAAATAAACAAACCAAATACAACATTAGAAACAAAAATCAATGAATTTAAACGAAGTTCAAGCGAAGAAAATAAGTATAGCTTACCACAATATTAGTTGCAGGATTGGGATTGCAGTTATTAGTAAGTGGATTATAAGGAGGAACATTTGTGCCATCTTTTAATGTTGGCCATAAGCCATGGATGGTGAAGATGTCGGGTATCGGACTCTTACAGGTTTGTGGTGCAGCGATACAGAGAGTAGTCGGCCATCTCAGACTCAGTTTATAGAACGCAAACTCAGAGCCTTCAGCTGATACCACCAAGCTCACTACCACAACTGCAGCAAAAGCTAATATCTGATTCACGAACATTTTGCTTACAATCAACACTCAGAGATGATGAAGAAGAAGAAGATTTTATATTTAACTTGTTAATACTAAGCTTGCATTTCCATTTCCATGCTAGGGTTTTTATACCATTTTTCAACCTCCTTTTTGGATAAAACAAAGATAGGTAGCTAGGCACATTTTTTCTGTGCTGAAGTTGGCGGTGTAAATTATTAAATTATGGTAAAGGGTGGATCTAAAAATATTTTTGAGTAATAGAAGTAAGATTTTATGTTATGCGACACATTTTTTTTATTTTAGAAAGATAAAAACATATTATTAATAAAAAAAATTAAAATATAAGATAATTTGAAATTTTTAGAGATGATGAATATCCCCACCAACTCTTTCAGTCTATTATTGAGCATATATTTATTAATAAAAAATTATATAAGATGAATACAAATAAAATTTATCGATAAATATTGCTAATAAAAAAATTCAAAATTCAAAATTCAAAATTCAAAATTCAAAATTCAAAAATTCAAAATTATATAAGATAATAAAATACACGAGGTGAGCTGACACCCATGTGTTTGTGATAAGGGCAGCCAAGGAATTGTGATGATAAAATTGACGAGTCATTGCTTGAGGAAAGGAAATCGTCGCACGACTCTATTGTTGTTTTTTGTGTGTAGAAATAAATAGATTTACACATGTTTATTTCTTCTCTGAATAAAGTGATGCATGTTTTGCCCACTTCTTTTAAAAACACTAAATTTCTTATAACCCAAAATCTTTAATTTCTTATAACCGAAATCTTTAATCTCCAAATCCCTAATTTCTTTTAAAGATCGAAGGTGAGACAGCGATGACGATTAGAGATTCGAATGGTAATGTAACCTCACCAACAATACGACTAGAGATTCGAATGGTAGTGTAACCTCACCAACAATGACAAACAAATAATGATTAGGTTATACTGCAAGATTTAAGGACTGTGTGTAACAATATACAAATTCAGACAATCGATGAAAGTCCACAACAAAAGAGATGCGATATGGCAACAATGACATGAAATTTAAAAATTTGAGGTTAGAGATCCAAAGATTTTTTATAATTAAAAGACTCTAAAGGAATTTTTAGAAAATTAATGATTTAAGGTATTTTTTATAATAATATTTAAAAAAAAATTATATTATATGTCAAACACTAATTGAATAATTTTTTAATTATCACTGACAATTAGACATCTTAAATGATAATTTTAAAAACGTTAAATATTTATTTGAACATAATAAACTTAAAATACGTAAAAAATAAATAAAAGTATAGTTTAAACTCTAATTTTTCAATTAAATCTACAATTAATAATACTTTTAACTTTGTTGCTGTCACCTGTTAACCGGGTATCAACTCATCAATAAAAAATAGCTAAAATATTTACACAATTTTAATCCTTTTTAATACTTAAATTTTTAATTTTTTCAAAACTATATCTAACATTTAATTTTTGTTTTATATTAATATCTCGTCGTTAAAAACTTAACACATTTAGTATTTAAACTATAGTTTTTGTCAATTTTAGTATATAAACTTTCATTTTTTTCAAAACTTAAAAATAGTTTAATATTTTTTTCAAAACTTAAAAATAATTTAGGTACTAAACGTGTTTTAGTATCTAAACTTTAAATTTTTTCAACACTTAAACTTTAGTACTAAAAAGAAACAAAAACTAAACTTTAAGTATAATTTTTAAAAAAATTAAAAGTTCAAAATACTAAAACGGATCAAAACTGATAGTTTAGATACTAAATGTATAGTTTACCGTAAATATTTTACCACTTCACCTAAAAGTATTATTCGCCCACAGTTTTAAGAAAAACAATAACATTTAATTAAAAGCTAAATTACAAAAAGGACATTGAGCACCAGAGTATGCAAAAATGTCCACTCCCTTCAGTTGTTTAAGGTCGTTTCGAAATTATACACAAAATATGCTAAGCTAAGCTATGATATGCTATCATGCACAAACATGACTAAAGGGAGCAGCATCTAGAGGAGGCGGATGTGGGGGTGTTTGCAGGGAAGAGAAGTGACCTAGTCGATGATTTCTTCCTCTTCTTCGGCATTCCTCACAATTTTCGCTTGTTTCTCCTGAACATAAAAAGCCGCTTGGTCAACTTTTGTGTCATGTTTTTCCATCTTCATCATCATTGTTGTTGTTCTTGATATCATAATCACCAGCGACGTCAACAAGACTTTGGGTCATTATGTTGTAGATTTCATTATTATCTTCCTCACCAAGCAAAGGTTTCTCGTCAATGATATCACCCTCGGACGCACCATCTTTAACAACCACGACAGGAAATTTCAACGGCTTCTCAGGCCAATCCTTAAAGAAAGAATTCATAACCATGAATCGGAAAACCAGCAACAACCGGCTTTTATCTTTCCTTATATCAGCACTAAGAAGCTTCTGCAGAAGAGTCGGACTCCTCTTGTTGAAAGAAGAGCCATCAAATGACTCCTCTGTTGGTGGCCGTTTCTTGGAAAAACGGTCCCTCTTATACAGTTTCCCTCTTTTATCATTCCTCGTTCCAAATCTTCCCCTCTTGGTTGACAGCCTGTGGTTTTCTTCCCTTCCATCCACCTTTTTCTCCGAACCTATCAGATAATGTGATGGAATTTCTGCAACTTCGACTCCTAGCTCAGCTTGCTTTGCCAAAATCTCCTTAAGTTGCTGCAGCAAAGGTTTGGATATATATTACAAGGAAATAAATAAATAAATAACAAAAAGAAGAAAGAAAGATATCAAGAAAAAACTTCAGTCATATAACTGGTAACAATGAAGCCTCAATTCAACCACCATGCACTAATTGCGACTCCCTAATTGTCTGTTTTTAGATTCTGTAAACCCATAACGGAAAACTTTAGTAATCTTTTCATCAATATTTAACATTTTTTGACATGCTTACATTGCCAATTTTCTCAAATCTTGAATACTACTACTATAACTATTACATATATCTATGTTATTTAGACCAAGTCCGAATATGTACCCGGATATGGGTGCAGGACAAGGATACTTCAGGAAAAATAGAGAGAAGGAGCGACAGAGCAGCATAGACATGTATACTTTGGACGAGACACACAACAGGCTTATAAGAGGAAAGCATCAAATGTTCGTTGACCAGATAGCATAGCACCCCTTTAAGATGAGATAGATCTTATGCAAACAAGTTCTTAACAGATCAGCAAGCAAAAAAAAAAATGTACCTCACTACGTAATTTGGCAACCTCGGTGTCTGCTACTTTTCTACTCAGTTTCTGCAGCCAGCAAAGTCAATTATCATCGAACATGTTTAAATGAAAATAAAATGAAAAAGCATTCAACAGCTAAATCCAAAATTCCAACCTTCTTTATGTTAGCTTTTGTCGGATAGAACTTCTTACGTTCTTCACACCACTGTCTTATTTCTTGCTCCGTATAAGTCAAAGCAAGTGATCTTCTCATTTATGAAAGAATTTTTGACACATCAAAGCAGAGATTAATAAGAAAGAAAGTAAGTCTAACACAAGAAAATATATGACAAATTACGTAAAATGTTAATCATAAGTGCAGGAAAAGAAGATTCTGTTGAGGATGATTTCACTAAACTGTGAACTAGAATTAGATCGGTCCCATTAGCCTTCCTGTTGGGAATTATAATCATAGAATACACGAACACTTTCATACAAGTGTTGAAATGTATGCTAGGCTATCATACATTTAAACAACTAAACTCAGAGAACTTAAAACACCAAAACGCTGTTGAATTCTAAAAGGTCTGATGTTAGCAAATGAAAACAAGTAAATTAATAGAGCATGAGCGTTCCTGTTCCATTTTCATTCAAAAAATGGGATTTCGTCCTCAGACATTTAGGGCCTTGAATAGCAGGTGTTAAATTGATCGATTATCAATAATACAACCTTATACAAGAAAGAACTTAAACACCTCATTGAAATGGGAATCAATTAAGGGTTAGGCAACCAACGGTTTTTAGCATGATTGCATAGAATGATTCTGACTGTAACGACCATTACAATATTCAAGGAATTAATAAAATTAACCATATAAAGCCCATTTATTTGAGAACTTAATGCAATCCATCCTCAGTTCTCAACTCACACCAATCCTATACCATTTAACTTCTATTCAAAGTGATCATGTAAATGCTCAACAGAATCCATTGTCCCCAATTGATACCAATAAAACACCCATGATTTATTCATGATAAACCACAGTCCGGATGCAGTATCCATCATTTGTAAAAGCAGTTTCAACTAAAAAATGCCCCCTGTTATACCACCTACAATTTTGATAGATGAGTATGAGCAAACAAAAATTACCTTCTCTTTTCCTTGGCTGGATTTGCAGAATCAGAATGAGGAAAGTAAGCTGCCCTCCCATTATCCCGTCCTGTTATTTTTATCCAAGTTTTATCAAAAGAAATAAAAGAATAAAGTAGCAAAAAAATTAAAAGAAAATGATAGGTGGAAAGGAATCCAATATCTATTTTCAAGTTGTAGTCATCAAAAAAGCAAAATTATGCATGGGAAAAGTTGTTGTCTGGCTAGTTTTTTTAAGAGTAAAAACAAATAAATTAATAAATGGTGACAAATCAGTACTTCATCTCAACCATAAATTTTTAGATATATATACATTGGCATTCAAATGTGAATTAAAATAAATCAAACAATATTTTTAATACACATTTTTTAAGTTTCCAACCAATAGGAAATAATCTAAGCTTCAGAAAAGCTTAGCTCTATTTATCGCAAAATTAAGTGATCCAAACCAAGTCTGGAATGCTTAAGGTCTTGGTTTGTTTGTGTTTCAGCATAAACTTTACACTTTTAACGACGTGCCCGTAAAACAGAAAACCTTCCATCTTTTTTTGCAATGCTAAAATAAATGTTAAAAAAAACATATTTGTCAGCCAGAAACATAAATATCAACACTAAAAGCAAATTCCATCAATCACTCTATTCACCTTGCATAACCTATTCTATTTCTTGAAACCTATGACTAGCTGGGATTTCCGGCTTAAAACCTATTCCACTATTCCAAAGAAACTATTGTATCACCCAGTTCCTGCAGTTTATTGTCAATCAGATAATTGAATTGCTAGTTAGGAAACAATCGTGATATCATATTCATTAGACCATAGATAACCAGACACTAGACTAAGAAATCAAGACTTTGGATTTGAACTCCTACTTGTCCCAGACTCGCAGTGAATCACTAATAATTTTTAAAAGATGCTTAAATCAGTTCATCTACAATTGGTTCCCTTTGAGTTACAAACCAGATAACGCGACAATTGTATTAATATTGCAAATGTCAAATAACTTCTTTTTCTCTTCTTCTTTAATCTTTTAAGTTTGATGCTTTATGACAAAAAAAGACAAATATATTTATATAAGTTAATTGAAATTCATTAAAATGTTAACCTTTTTTCTTATGTCCATTAGAAGATGCAAATGATCTCTTTGCATTATCCGCTTGATGGAACCCAGGCTGCTGGAACTTAGACTTCTGAAATCTACAAAAATTGAATTTCAGCTGTATAAAAAGCCAAAAAGATCGAGTCTTGTACAAAGAGAAGCTAGAAACCGAAAAATGTTTAAAAATACCAACCCCAATTTTGAATCCCTTTTAGCATTTCTTCCGGAAAAGTTGTTCATGTTCTGACCATTTTTACAGGGACCGCTCTTCAAGAATTGAAAAGACGTATTATTTCAAAAGCCAAAACAAAAAAAGATAAAATAGACCCATCTGATTAGTAAACTTTTGCATTAAATGATATCAAAGCAGTTTGAGAAGTTCTGTCTAGGGAAAAGAAATAGCATAAGCTATTAAGAAAAGATTCCCAACTGAAGGAGCATCTTCAATAGTAAGTAGATAATGCAAATTCTCAGAAGTCATTGAAACTTCGAAAGAATGGTATCCCTTAAAATAGATGCTTTAATCTACCGAAGGCAATCAGACTTTCTCAAACAAATTTCAGTGTTAACATTAATAAAAAAAAGGGGGAAGTATGTACTCAGCTCTAGACTCTAACACAATGTTGAAAGAATAAAGGGGTAAAAACATATACCATTGGCTTTCTGAAAGAAGGGTCTCCTTGTACTTGTGAAGCAGCTGCAGAAGACAAATTGGATGTATTAACATCGGCTAAATTTTGCTGACCCTGACTAGCATGCTGCTGCATCGGGTTTGGATGCATAAACCCGAAATGCTGATTCTGAACGGTAGTAGTAGGATTGAGACATTCCATTGCTTGACCACCAGAAACAAGATGGGAGAGATCAGGTAGTTGAACATTTAGAAGTTGGCTCAGATTCTGCAACTGATTTTGTAGAAAAAGCTGCTGTTGTTGCTGCTGCCCATTTGTGAAACCAATATTATTTTGTTGGGGGAAATTCAACCAATTTGGCTGATTTGGATTGTGCAAAGGGTTATTGAATTGAGCAGGAAGTTGTTGGAACATCGAAAGATTATTCGGGTTCGGCAAAATTGGACCAAAATGAGGAAACCCCATATTGTTATTTGGTGTAGGAAACTGCTGGTTAGCTCCATTCATGAATCCAACATTATTTAACAATGGCGTAACACTGGAAGTACTATTATTATTAAAAATACCCATTTGAGGTCGCATCATAAGCATGTTCATGTTGTTAGTGCACTGGTTTCCCACCGCAGAACTTGATTGAAATCCATTCTGTTCAATGAAAATCAAATGTCAAATTCAAAAAGACGTGAAACAAAGAAAGTAAGAGAGAGTCAAAGAAGGTTACCTGCTGGGGTTGATGGGGAAACGAATTGAAATGAGGTCTCATTAGGTTATCACTGAATACTAAAGAAACCGTCTGGAATTGCCGGCTGACGAGACACGAGAGAGAGAGATTTTGGCGGTGAAGTGTTTAGGGTTTTAGATAATTCTCAGGGTTTATGGATTTCATAAACAGTTGGGTGCCGCCAGTAGAAGGCCCAAACAACTAATTGTGCTTTATTCAAGGGTAAAAGTATTGTACAGGTCCCTGTATTATTGTAAAGATTTCATTTTAATCTCTAAATTTTATTTTATTATGATAAAATACACCAAAGGTCATTAAACCATGCTCAAATAATGTTTCGATCAATGAAATTTTACAAATTATAGAATGATCAGTAAATTTATCAAATTATTACGAAATAATCATTATTTATTCTCATTGTAATAATTGAACCAATGATTATTATTTTATAAGATCAATCTAGTTTAATAATATGGTACTAGATTAAAATATGATGTGATATATTTATCGACTTATTGTATCGTAGTTCGAGAGTTCAAACAACTTATATTTCATGAGTTAATAGTTTATGAAATTATATTGATTTAATTATAATTTAGTTAATGTTTTTGAATAATCTAGGATAATTATAATGTAATATCTTTCTTAATCATTGAAAACGTCCATACATCTTAGGGACGCAACTGTCCAAACCTGGACCTTTAATATCACTTGATATAAAGGAAGGAGAGTGCTCTTAGTTGGTCTAAAACACACGACCAACTTGATGGGAAGGAAGGAGAGTACTCTTAGTCGGTTTAGAACTCACGACCTAAAGAAATATGATGAACAACTTAACCAACATATCAAATGTACTTGCTCATAAATCATATCATTTTAAAATATTATGTTATATTTTAAATTAATGTTACATTATTTAATTAAACGTATCTCATAAAATTATCGAAAAACGATGAAATCTTGACAAAGGTAGTCCATGTGTGACGGCAGCATTTGAGCACCGATGTTTCTTGTCATCAGTGCCACCATCCTAGCGAGGATTTGGACCAGTATTCAGCACCATTGCTTTCGGGCGAAAGGCATTTGGCAGCAGATAGATTCGGAGAGTTCCTGCAAATGGATCTGAAGAGCTGAATTGTAAAGAATATTGAGCAGCCACGGTACTTACCCTTACAGGATCTGCAATGGCAGTCATTATTTGGGACATTGTGCATTAGTGATGGAACCTATGGAACCATAGAAACCTAATGTAATGATCTTTGATGTTGCTCGTGCGCATGTTGAAAGTGTTTTACATGAATGTTCGATTTGACAAAAAATTGTGTTACATTCTTTTATTATTATCAATTTAAGGTACTTACAAATGATATCATCTATTCTAAAGGCTCGTTTAAATACTTTGTGCAATCTCTGATATTCAAACCTAAAACATTTATGAATAAAAATTATTTCTTTAATTATTGAGATAATTTGGTACGTGTAAAATTATGTTAATCTCAAAGAATATAGTAATTGTTTCTTTTTATTTCTTCTGGTAAAGTATCTTTTCTAACATATATTATTATTATTATTGTTGTTGTTACAAATAAAGGGACTGATTAACAGTTGCCAATATTCCTACTTATAGACATACTATCTGAGTCAAGGATGGTTTGGATACTTGTGGGAGGCTGCAGCATAGTCGAGAGCCCTCAACAGGAGCTACTGCCGATATGAGCCATGTTGTGGAATTCGGGACCAATAACAGATTCACCTTCGAAACTATTATCTAGGTGACTAGTGTGAAAACGATTGTACTAAAAATCACCCCAAGGTATATTCCCAGGAAAGAGGAGGGGTCACAATGGTCCCTCTTAAAACCCACTTTCCTTAGACAGAAATACCAAGACAAGTAATTTTAATAGGAAAATAATTAACAACAACTATACCCGACAATAGCTATTAAATAGAGATAAAAGAGAACACCAAAATATTTCACTAATAGAGGAAATATTACAAAGAGAGAAAGAATACAAATAGCCTTTAATATAGAAGAAGGCTTATATTTGTGGGATGATTAACTAAGGAGGAGGATGGCTTTATTTATAACAAAATAATTTCCCCTCCTCCTTATACACAACCAATGTGGAACTTTGCCAAAAACCAACAAATCTCCACCTTGGCAAATTCCACACACATCTCTAAAAAAATATTTTAATTTGTAACAATATTGACCAAGTCTAAACAATGTTTAAACTTGACCGCAGTTACCACTTTTGTCAACATATCAGCAGGATTCTCAGTGGTCCGAATCTTCTGGATTATGACTCCACATTCTTCTAGAATCTCTCGTACAAAGTGATATCGAACATCGATGTGCTTCGTCCTTGCATGGTAAACCTGGTCCTTTGCTAAATGAATAGCACTCTGACTGTCACAGTGCACTTTGATGTGCTTTTGTTCCATTCCCAATTCACCAAACAACCCTTGAAGCCAAATTGCCTCCTTCACAGCCTCTGTAACTGCCATATACTCTGCCTCTGTAGTAGACAAAGCCACTGTTGACTGTAAGGTGGACTTCCAACTGACTGGTGCCTTTGCAAATGTAAACACATAACCAGTAATTGATCGACGCTTGTCCAAATCACCTGCATAGTCTGAATCACAATACCTAACTACACACTGACCGTCTTGTTTGTCCTGCTGAAAGACCAAACCAACATCTACGGTGTTCAGAATATACCGCAGAATCCATTTCACAGCTTGCCAATGCTCCTTTCCAGGATTATGCATATACCTACTCACAACCCCAACTGCCTGTGAAATATCGGGTCTCGTACACACCATTGCATACATCAAGCTACCAACAGCACTTGCATACGGAACCTTTGACATGTATTCCCGTTCTGCATCATCCTTAGGTGACATTGATGCACCGAGCTTGAAATGAGGAGCAAGAGGTGTACTAACTGGTTTTGACATCTCATTTATGCCAAAACGTTTTAGTACATTCCTTAGATATTCTTTCTGAGACAAACAAAGCCTCCCCAATTTCTTATCCCTTGATATCTCCATGCCTAGAATCTTCTTCGCTTCACTAAGATCCTTCATCTCAAACTCCCTGTTCAATTGAGTCTTTAGTTTCGCAATTTCTGTCTGACTCCTGGAAGCTATCAACATATCATCAACATAAAGAAGAAGATATATATAGGATCCGTCTTCTAGCTCGCGTAAATACACACAATGATCATATTTTCTTCTTTTGTACTTTTGCCCTATCATAAACTTGTCAAATCGCTTGTACCACTGCCTTGGAGATTGCTTCAATCCGTACAACGATTTTTCTAATTTGTACACCATCTCTTCTTTTTCAGCAACTTTGAATCCATCTGGCTGAGTCATGTAGATTTCCTCATCCAAGTCTCCATGTAAAAATGCAGTTTTTACATCCATCTGAACTAGTTCCAAATCCAACTGTGCTACCAAAGCCAACAAAATTCTGATGGAGGAATGTTTTACAACAGGAGAAAATAATTCATTATAATCAACTCCCTCCGTTTGAGCGTAGCCTTTAGCCACCAATCTTGCTTTGTAGCAGATGTTATTCTTGTCAGGAAATCCATTTTTCTTTGCATATACCCACTTGCACCCAATTGCCTTCTTTCCCTTCGGAAGACTAGCTAGTTTCCACGTCTGATTCTTTTGAAGGGATTGCATTTCTTCATTCATGGCGATCCTCCACTTTTTATGTTCTGAACTTTGAACTGCTTCATTAAAAGTGGCAGGAACGTCATCAATTGCAATTGGTGATGCAAAAGAGACCATATCAGCATAACGAGCAGGTTGTCTAATGGTCATCTTTCCCTTTCTGAGTGCAATTGATTCATGTTGTTGTGGAGGTTCTTGGGTCTGAACCTCTTCTTCATCTGAATCTTCTTCTACCATAGGAGAGTCAACATCAGTTTCTTTACTGGCTGGGACAATCTTGCTTCCTTCAAACTCCACCTGTTTGGGAGTTCCATCTGTCTGGTCTAATTTTTCTGAAGTCACCTTTCTCAACATGGTAGATTCATCAAAGGTAACATCCCTGCTGAAGATTATTTTCTTTGTTTCTGGTCACCAAAGATGATAGCCTTTCACACCAGAGGTGATCCCCATAAAGATCGCCTTCTTTGCTCTTGGATCCAGCTTTGACTCCTTAACATGGTAGTATGCAGTGGAACCAAACACATGTAAGGAATCATAATATGTAGCAGGTACTCCAAACCATTTCTCTAATAGTGTTTTACCACCAATAGCAGTCGATGGTAAGCGGTTGACAAGGTGACAAGCATAGACCAAAGCCTCAGCCCAAAATTCTTTGCCTAACCCAGCATTAGACAACATACACCGAACCTTCTCCACTAATGTCCGGTTTATACGCTCTGCCACCCCATTCTGTTGTGGTGTACCTCTGACAGTGAAGTGCCTGACAATACCTTCCTCTTCACAGACTTTCAGAAATGGATCATTTTTGTACTCTCCACCCTTGTCTGTACGGAGACGTTTGATTTTTCTGCCTGTTTGAGTCTCCATCATATTTTTCCATTTAAGGAAAAATCCTAGCACCTCATCCTTTGTCTTCATTAGATACACCCAAACTCTCCGGGAAAAATCATCAACAAAGGTGACATAATAGTATGTTCCTCCCAATGAAGTTGTCTTGAAAGGCCCCCATACATCTGAATGAACATAATCTAAAATACCTTTAGTATCATGGATTGTTGTTCCAAATTTCACCCTCGTCTTCTTCTCTTTGATGCAATGCTCACAAAAAAGTAATTTGCAAGTCCGAGCACCCTTCAATAATCCTTGATCTATGAGTAATTTCAAGGATTTTTCACCAACATGCCCCAAGCGCATATGCCATAAGACTCATGTTCATCAGTAGAAGCTGTCACTGCTGATGTCCCAACAATTGTACTACCCAGAAAGTAATACACATTGTTTCTTTTTCGGATTCCCTTAATTATCACAGTGCACCAGAGATAATCCTCATAATCCCATCTTTTACCATCACTTCTAAACCTTTTGACTCTAAGGTTCCCACAGAGATGAGATTTCTCATTAAATCTGGTACATAATGGACACCTGTTAAGGTTCTGATTGATC